AGCATCAGAGGAGCAGGAAGGCTGACGTTTCGGGCCTAGACCCTTCTTCAGAAAAAAAATGAAGACCGAAACATCAGCCTTCCTGCTCCTCTGATGCTGCTTGGCCTGCTGTGTTCATCCAGCTCTACACCTTGTATACTCTTTAAATTGCCTCCTTTCAAAACAGAAAATCCTGGAGAACACAGCGAGTCAAGCAGAATCATGGAGAGAAAGCAAGCTAATGTTTCGAGCATCATCGGTAACATGAAGTGTGGAGGGGGCAGCATTTTTGCAATAGTGAGGGTGGTGTTGGTGGCGTGCAGGGGGAGAAAGGATGTTGATAGTTCAGATTAAGTCATCACGACAGCTCTGATGAAGAGTCATCTAGATTCGAAACGTTAGCATGCTTTCTCTCCATGGATACTGCCTGGCCCACCAAGATCTCCAACACTTTCTGTTTTCAGTACAGATTCCAGCATCTGCAGTAATTTGCACCTCCTTTCAAAACAAGATCATTTGAGTTTTGGAGGCAGGGATCTTTTCATTGTAACAAAACAAGGGGCTGGGTGGAGAGCGAATTCATCCTTCTTCAGCTGGGAGCCTAATGTTTGGGTTATCCCAACCAAAACAAGTTGGGGATCCTCACCTGGGGCCTGGTCATAACACAACGAGATCACCTGTCATTCTTCAAAACTCTAGATAACACAGCCCCCAGTTTTTTCAATCTTTCCTCATAAGACAGCTCTGCCATTCCAGGCATTTGTCTGGTGAACGTCCGTTGTATTCCCTTTGTGACAAGTAAATCCTTCCTTCTAAAAAGGGGACCCACGCTGCCCCGCTCCCTATCTGTGCATGGACATGCTCCCTCCTGTAACTCTAGTGAAGCATAAGGCTGCTGATGTGACAAGGAAAAGATGTGGAACAAAAAACTACAAAGTGTCTTCAGGGTTTTGAATAAAATATTTGATATTTATTAATAAAAGAACCTAAATGCTTTGTATTGTAAACTAAATATGTTGTAATCCTTAATAAATTGTTTATATGTCTATCCTGTCCAGTGGCAGCACCTCCATCTCCTGGGCTGTATCGAGGCAGCTGGATGTACTGGAGGTGGATAGGAATGAGTCATATTCATCATAACTTGTGTCTGCCTCTTTGCTTTTAAAGCCCAAACTCAATATAATTTTGTGGATGATCTCATCCAGAGCCTCTGCCGAGGGAACATTTAGGTTTGAGCAGCTTGACATCCAGGCATTATGCTCCTCTGCGCTCTTTAGCAGCAGGTTGTTTGTCTCCGAGGAGACAAAGTCCTTCATATCGATGCCCTTGACCAGTTCTTTGAAGTACTGTGAGACTGAGATACTGCCTTCCTTGGGGATTTGGAGAAGGACATCCTGCTGGGCGATTCTGGCTACCTCTCCCCGAAGCTGCTTGTCTTCCTTGAGGAAGTGCACAGGGTTCAAATGGGAGTCCAGTAACCGCTTCATCTGTAGGTATAGCTGGGTCGGACCGTGGAGAGCAGCTAAAATCTCCTGCAGCTTCTCAATCTTCTGGACTCTCTCACTCTCCACTTTCATCTTCAACATATTAATTTTAGACTTCAGTTCAGTCAGCAGGCTAGCCCCTACAGCGTCGATCATAGTCTTTGTGTCTTTGCAGGCAGACACTGTGTCAGTTATTAGCTTCTGAATCTCCTGTTGGAACAGGGAAGGGAAATGATTGGAGAATAGGACATGTGCAGTGAAGACAACAGCTGGAGACTGTGGACACAGGGTGATTGCCTTTACTGCGGCAGGAAGGTAACATTTGTGGCTCTCAATTGCAAGCTAATGACCGTCTCCAGCAAGAGGGAATCAAACAATTGTCCCCCGACGTTGAATGGCATTACCTTCACTGAGACTCCCACAGGCAATATCCTGGGGGGTCGCCATTGATCAGAACCTGAACTGGACAATCCATTTAAATACACTGGCTACAACAGCAGGCCAGAGGTTAGAAATCCTCAAGAGGTGAATTGGCATGTAAATCACCTCCTGACTCTCCAAACCCTTTCCACCATCTATAAGGAACAAGTCATGAGTATGATAGAATATTCCCCACTTGCCTGAATGAGTGCGGCTCCAACAACACTCAAAAATTTCAACACCATCCATGACAAAACAGCCTGCTTAATTGAGACCACTCCAGCACCTTCAATATTCCTTTCACCACTGATGCTTAGTAGCTGCAGTGTGTACCATCTATAAGATGCACAGCAACAATTCACCAGTATTTCTTCAGCATCTTCCAAAACCACAATTTCAACAAAAAGGCAAAGATGCGTGGAAACACCACCATCTGCAAATTTCACTCCAACTCACACAGCATCCTGATTTCTTTTACTAATTCATGGGATGTGGGCATTGCTAGGTCGGCCAGCATTTATTGTCCATCCCTCATTGCCCTGGAGAAGGTGGTGAGCTGCCTCTTTGAACCACTGCAGTACATATGCTGTAGTACATTCACAATGCTGTTCAGGAGGTTATTCCAGGATTCTGACACAGTGAAAATGAAGTAACAGCAATAGATTTCCAAATCAGGATGGTGCATGGCTCAGAGGGAACTTGTAGGTGGTGGTGTTCCAGCATATCCACTGCCCTTGTCCTTCTAGATGGTAGTGGTCGTGGATTTGGATGGTGATATCTAAGGGTCTTTGGTGATTGGTAACTCCCACATGTTTACTAATGAGGGAATTTGATGATGGTGATGTTATTAAATATCAAGGGGCAATGGTTAGATTCTCTGTTGTTGGAGATGGTCATTGCCTGGCATTTGTGTGTTGCAAACGTTAATTGCCACTTGTCAACTGCTGCTGGACTCAGAACGTTAACTCTGCTTTCTTCCCATAGATGCTGCCAGATCTGCTGAGTTTCACTACCAATTTCCCTTTTTGTGTGTGAAAAATAATTTAATTGTGCAAAGGACTTTGTGATAGAAATGAGATTTGTCCCTTGGGCCTGTTCTGCCATTCAGTTAGACCATTGCTGAGCTGAATCTTAACTTCAGTTTCCCACCTCACTTGTATAATCTTTTACCTAGCAACAATCTATCCTGTTTGAAATTTTCAATTGGCCACAGGTATTTAAGGGAGGGAGTTACAGATTTCCACTCCCCTTTGTGCGAAGTCTTAATGTCCCTTAGGGAAGGAAACTGCCATCCTTACCTGCTGGGGCCTATGTGTGACTCCAGACCCCACAGCACAGGGATTGACTCTTAATTACCCAGAGGGCAGTTAAGGAAAGGCAATGAATGTTGGCTTGGCCAGTGATGCCCTCATCCCATGAATGAATAATAAAATGGTGTTTCCTGACATCATGCCTGAATAGTGGGGCTCGCCTGTTAAAGGAACAAGAATGGCAAGGGACAGATGTAAAGTGATGTGCCAACAAAACAAGAGTGACGTGAGAAAAGAAGTGAATAGTTAGGGTGTGGAATGCACTGCCTTGAAATGTAGTGGGTCAGGTTCAAACTGAAGCATTCAAGAGGGCATTGGATTGTCTTTTGAATAGTAATGGTGTGCGGTGATATGCGGAAAAAGCAACAGACTAATTGGCACTAGGTAATAAAGCCAGTGCAGACACAATGGGCCCAATGACCTCCTGCACCATAATAATTCTGTCATTCTGTGAATTTTAAGGGCACCCACCCCCGGACTCCCACACCCATCAGAAGAATTCAATGTTTGACTCCATCGTATCCCTCTATCATCTCGAACCCTGCATATAGAATAGGGCAAAGTCAGCATGGCTTCATCAAGGGGAGGTCATGCCTGACAAATCTGTTAGAATTCTTTGAGGAAGTAATGACCAGGTTAGACCAAGGAGAGCCAATGGATGTTATCTACCTGGACTTCAAAAAAGCCTTTAACAAGGTGCCTCACAGGAGGCTGCTGAGTAAGATAAGGGCCCATGGTGTTAGAGGAGAGGTACTGGCATGGATAGAAGATTGGCTGTCTGGCAGAAAGCAGAGAGTGGGGATAAAGGGGTCTTTCTCAGGATGGCAGCCAGTGACAAGTGGTGTTCCACAAGGGTCAGTGTTGGGACCACAACTTTTCACTTTATACATTAATGATCTAGATGAAGGAACTATGGGCATTCTGGCTAAGTTTGTAGATGATACAAAGATAGGTGGAGGGACAGGTAGTATCAAGGAGGCAGGGAGGCTGCAGAAGGATTTGGACAGCGTACGAGAGTGGGCAAAGAAGTGGCAAACGGAGTACAATGTGGGAAAGTGTGAGGTCATGCACTTTGGTAAGAAGAATAAAAGCATGGACTATTTTCTAAATGGAGAAAAAATTTAGAAGTCTGAAGTGCAAAGAGACTTGGGAGTTCTATGAATCATTGAGTATATTCAGTCATTGAGTATATTTAAGACGGAGATAGATAGTTTCTTGCTTGTCAAGGGGATGAAGGGTTACGGGGAGAAAACAGGAGAATGGGGTTGAGAAACTTATCAGCCATGATTGAATGGCGGAGCAGACTCGATAGGCTGAATGGCCTAATTTTGTGCTGCTATGTAGATCACCCTTATTTCGTGCCACTTCCCATTTTTGGATGGTGGCAGATGAGGGAGGGCAGTTGAACAGGAGAGTTCCAAGTTCTTCCTCAAACAAATGCCAGAGCTGTCAGCATCTGCCTGAACAGACAGACATCTGACATCTCTGTTCATCAGGAACACCTCAGTGGTTTGATGAAGACTTTGGTGTTTCGCTGCATTGGTGAGATCACCAGGAACAAATGCCCTGAGGACATTCCGTGGGTGGGTTTAGTCATGACTCATGAACCGTGCCCCATGACACAAGATCTTCCCTCTTGAGATGCTGCAAAGAGCATTGAAAGGTGAGTCAATGTTATTAAATGGTTGAGAACCTGAATGCTATTCAGCTGCGTCCTGTGATTACTCTGTAATTAAACACATTGTGTGATTAATTGCTCTCCATTGAAATAAATGGGGCCACTCTCCCACATCATTGACTTGTGTAATTTAAATCAGGATTAAATGAGTCAGAGCTTCCCTGATGGCCTAGTGCCAAGCCACCTGGTTTAGCCCTGGATAGGGATTGCACAGCTCTTCCCAGTTCTGTTGTAATGGGGGCTGTTTGGGAGTGGGTGTGACACCTCCAGGTTCACCTGGGCTACCTTTCCAGGTGATCCTCCAGAGGGAGCATATGGTCCCCACCAGGTATATTTGGGGTCTGTGAAGGCTGGTGCAGAATCTCTGTGGAGGCTCACTATGGGGTGTCTGTGTGGGGTCTCTGAGTGGTTTCAGTGAGGGGTCTTAGTATGAGTCTGGTTGCACAGTTCCATTAGGAGAACTGATGTGGGATCTCGGTGAGGGGTCTGTGCAGAATTTCAGCGTGGTTTTCTGTGTGGGACTTGGTACAGGGCTCAGTGCATGTTGTTTGTCTGGAGTATTGGTATGAGGTGAAGGTATTGGTTTGTGTGTACCTTTCTGTTATGGGTGTAGGTACTGGTATGGACTATTGGTACTCCTATGGACTTTGAGTATTGGTAAATGCTGTCAGTACAGTTATGGAGTGTAAGAGCTGTTGGGTTCTCTATAGGCTGTAGGTATGGAATTTCTTAAAAATAATTTGTTTGCATAGCAATAGGGCAGGGTTGGGGGGTTTACTATTGGCCACAGCATTGGTTAAGTATGGCGCTCAGTATAAGAGTCTGTATGGAATCACTATGGGTGTCAGCATAGAGCTCAGCATAGCTTCTGTATAGGGTCAGAATTCAGCTCCGTTTAGGATCAGAATGGATGTTAATATAGGGGTTAGTAAGGGTGGGGGGTCTGTTTATGGCCAATATTGAGTTTAGTATTGGGCCAGTATTAACCATTCCACCACTCTTCATGCCTTACACCTGATCAAATCCTATCAGGAAAACTTTTTTCTCTCCTGAGTAACCACTGATCATTGGGAATACCTGGACATGGATGAGGTGAGGGATTGTCCAACTGTAGCCTTCGGGGTTTAGCCTGTCCTGTCTCCCTCACCTGGCACGTGTAGTTTTTAGCAGGCTGTCAGAAATTAGTGTTCAGGTTTTCTAAGCCCTGAGACATTAATTAGGAAACCTGAGAACCTTCCAAATGCTTACGTGATGAATGTCTACCATGGTATGGGATATGTTTTGACCGAGGTATCCCCTCAACCTGTTGAGCTACCTGGTCATTGCTAGGCATCTTTGATAGCCAGTGCAAGTGGGAAAGTGATTGAAACCTGAGCAGTAAGGGGCCACATCCCTGTCTTTAGTTCAGTCAGATTTGTGATAGGATAGTAAACATTAGATATTTATGTGGCTTAGCGTGGATAAGTCTGGTTGATCAGATTGGGGTAGGTACCTGGATGGTTCCTGATGTGCTCTCACTTCTCATGTGAAGAGACTTCATATCTTCAGTGAAACATTTCTTCCTTTGTTGGTAAACATCAGAGAGCTTAGCAACGTTGTGACATTTGTGGTCTCCAAATAGCTTGCAGATGCTGCATATGGGTGTGTCATCGTGTAAGCACATCTGTGAAAACAACACAACTTGGGGTAATGATTGAGTATTGCCAAACATTGTGTAGGGCATGTCACCTTCTAGTTCACCTACACAGCCCTGACACTCAGTCAGAATCTTACATTTGGGATGAAATTGCATAGTGTGATACCAGGAACAGGCAAATTAACTAGACTGATTCATTTGCCGAGGCTGAGGCTATCCTTTAGCGAGGGAGAAAGTCTCAAAACCACCATATTGTGCTTTCGGCCCTCTCCCTGAGGGAAGAGATAGAGAAAGTGAAAAGGGACAAGATTAAGATAGAAAAGAAAGATTGAAAGAAGTAGGAAAATGGGGACTGAGAGGTTTGAAGAGAGAGACAGGAAACAGGCAAAGTGAGGAAGACAGAGAGAGAAAAGAGGCCAGAATTGAGGCATAAGTAGACACAGACCAGAGAGTCAGAGAGAAAATTAAATTTCCCAAATTTTGAAAATAAAACAAATGCAGGCGACAATAAGACAAGATGGAGGTGCTTATTGAGGGGTTTGGTTACAATGCTTCTATCACTTGAAAGAGAAGAATTTTCTAGAGTACCTTAGCTCCCCAATCAAACATGGTCTTTGATGTAAATGTTTAGACCTTGACAATAAATCCCTTCATAGCCTGCCCCTCTGTAATCCCCCACAACCCTGTAAAACTCTTCCAAATTTTTATAGATTCCTGGAAATTGGAAAGTAGTAAATGTCATGCCACTATTTAGGAACAGAGCGAGAGAGAAAATGGGGAACCACAGACCTGTTAGTCTTACACCCGGATAGGAAAATGCTGGAATCTATTACAAAAGGAAGGGATAAATGGACAGTATTTTGATAATAATCTGAGGATATGGTCAGCATACGCTTGCAAATGGAAAATTGTATTTAACAAATTTATTGGAGTTTTAAATTTTTTCCCTTCACTCATGGGGTCATGGATGATGTTGGCTGGGCCAGCATTTATTGCCTCCCTAGTTGCCCTTAAGAAGATGGTGGTGAGCTACCACCTTGAATTGCTAAAGTCCATGTATGATCCATAATACCATTAAGGAGAGAATTCAGGATTTTGACCGTGCATTGTTATTGAGTCATGGAGTTGTACAGGACAGAGACAGACCCTTTGTTACAACTCATCCGTGCTGAACAGAAATCCTAAATTAATCCAGTCCCATTTGCCAGCATTTGGCCCATGTCCCTCTTAAAACCTTCCTCTTCATAAACTCATCAAGATGCCTTTTAAATGTTGTAATTGTACTAGCCTCTACCACGTCCCCAGCAGCTCGTTCCATATACGCATCACCCTCTGCATGAAAAAAATTGCCCCTTAGAACCCTTTTAAATCTTTTCCCCTTAAACCTATGCCCTCTAGTTTTGGACTGGGGAGAAGACCTTGGCTATTCATCCTATCTATGGCCCTCATGATTTTATAAACTTCTATAAGGTTCCCCCCCTCAGTCTCCAATGTTCCATGGAAAACAGCCCCAGCTTATTCAGCCTGTCCCTATAGCTCAAACCCTCCAATCCTGGCAACATCCTTGTAAATCTTTTCTGCACCCTTTCAAATTTCACAACATCCTTCCTCTGGCCGGGAGACCAGAGTCGAAGGCAGTATTCCAAAAGTGACTTAATCAATGTCCTGTACAGCCTCACCATAACCTCCCAACTCCTAAACTCAGTTGACTGACTAATAAAGGCAAGCATACCAAATACCACCTTCACTATCGTGTCTACTTGCGACTCTACTTTCAAGGAACTATGACCCTGCGCTCCAAGGTCTCTTTGTTCAGCAACACTCCCCAGGACCTTACATTAAGTGTATAAGTCCTGACCTGATTTGTCTCTCCAAAATGCAACACCTTACATTTGTCTAAATTAAACTCCATCTGCCACTCCTCAGCCCGTTGGTTCATCTGATCAAGGTCCGGTCGTACTCCAAGGTAACCTTCACAGCTGTCCACTACACCACCAATTTTGGTGTCATCTGCAAACTTAATAACTATATCTCCTCTTTTCACATCATAATCATTTATACAAATGACAAAATGCAGTGAACCCAGCACTGATCCTTGTGGCACACTGCTGGTCACAGGCCTTCAGTCTGAAAAGCAACCCTCCACCACCACCCTCTGTCCCCTACCTTTGAGCCAGTTCTGTATCCAAATAGCCAGTTCTCTCTGTATTCCGTGTGATAGAACATAGAACAGCACAGCACAGTACAGGCCCTTCAGCCCATGATGTTGTGCCGAACTTTTACCCTAAACCTAAGGTCTATCTAACCTCCACCCCTACCTTATACTATCATCCATATGCCTATCTAATAGCCGCTTTAATGCCCCTAATGAGGCCGACTCCACTACCCGCTCTGGCAATGCATTCCACGCCCCTACCACTCTCTGAGTAAAGAACCTACCTCTGACGTCTCCCCTATATCTACCTCCACTCACTTTAAAACTATGCCCCCTCGTAATAGCTACCTCCACCATAGGAAAAAGTCTCTGGCTGCCCACTCTATCTATACCTCTGATCATTTTGTACACCTCTATCAAGTCAAAGTGATCTAACCTTAATAACCAGTCTGCCATGCCGAGCCTTGTTGAACACCTTACTGAAGTCCATATAGATCATGTCCACCGCTCTGCCTTCATCAATCCTCTTTGTTATTTATAGAGTCATAGAGCCATACAGCACAGAAACAGACCCTTTGGTCCAACCAGACCATGCTGAACATAATCCCAAACTAAACTAGTCTCACCTGCCTGCTCCTGGCCCACATCCCTCCAAGCCTTTCCTAATCATGTACTTATCCAAATGTCTTTTAAACATTGTAATTGTACCCATGTATGCCACTTCCTCAGGAAGATCATTCCACACGTGTACTACCCTCTGTAAAAGAAAAAATCCTCTCATGTCTTTTTTAAATCTTTCTCCTCTCACCATAAAATTTTCCCCCATAGTCTTGAAATCCCCAATTCTACGGAAAAGGCAACTACCATTGACCCTATCTATACTCCTCATGATTTTATAAAATTCTGTAGCAGTCACCTCTCAATCTCCTACTTTCCAGTGAAAAATGTCCCAGCCTATCCAACGTCCCATACCTGGCAACATCCTGGTAAATCTCTTCTGAACTCTGTCCAGCTTAATAATATCCTTCCTACAACTGGGTGACCAGAACTGGAAACAGTATTCCAGAAGAGGCCTTACCAATGTCCTGTACAACCTCAACATGACTTCCTAACTTCTTTACTCAAAGAATTGAGCAGTGAAGGAAAGCATGCTAAATGCCTTTTTAACCGTCCTGTTGATATGTGACACAAACTTCAAAGAATTATGTACCTGCATCCCTAGGTCCCTCTTTTCTACAACACTACCGAAGGCCCTACCATTAATTGTATAAGTCCTGCCCCTGTTTGTTATACCAAAATGCAATACCTCACATTTCTCCAGATTGAACTCCATCTGTCATTTTCAGCCCATTGACCCTTTTGATCAAGATCCCTTTGTAATCTTAAAAAAACCTTCACTACCTCAACACCAATTTTGGTGTCACCCGCAAACCCACTAACTATGCCTTTTATATTCTCATCCAAATCATTTATATAAATGACAAACAAAAAAGGACCCAGAACTGATCTCTGTGGAACACCGCTAGTGACAGAGAGGTAGGACTTGTCTGGTCTTAAAGCTGCAGCCATGCTGAATGCATGTTAGGCTTCATTGGTTGTTGTTTTCTCCTCTCCTTCATTTATGTTTGTTGTACCTCCGTATGGGTGTGAAGTGGAAAGTTTGTGAAGTTTGCCTCCAAAGCCTCTGGTCACTTTAAGGGTTGGGGGGCAGGGAGGAGATGTTGTTCCCCCTAAAAAATGGCATGGATCCAAGGGGGATGTTAGGATGAGGTGGTTTCTCGCTCAGTGTCACCCCAAAATTTATAGCCAACTTTTATCTCTGAATTGCCCATAAGGGAAATAAGTCTGTACTTACTTTAGAAAAAATGTGTTTAGTTTTTAACCAGAGCTGCGATACTCACCAGATTCATGAGTTCCTCTTCATGCTTCTCACACATTTGAGTTTGCTGGCTCAGTTCCTTGCTGCAGATAATCTCCAACTCTTGCTTAAACTTGTCCAGCACATTTTCTGCAAAAATGTTTCGTTTTAAAATGCCGATCCCTTTTCCACGCAGGTAGGTGAGCTGAGAAGGGAGGTTTTTTTAAGCAAACAAAATGTCCATTAGAGCAATTGTTCTCATGTTTGAGTATTTCACACTTGACTTGGCTAAAACTTATTCAAATAATATCACTTCAGTAAATTATCAGTTCATTATCACATTATTGTTTGTGGGAGCTTGCTCTGCGCAAATTGGCTACCATGTTTCCTAAATTTGCAGAGGTGATACATCAAAAGTATTTTTTTTGTTATGAAGCATTTTGGGTCATTCTTTTGTTTTTAATATCATTATATAAATGCAAGTCTTCTCACCATTTAAGATCCTTCTCATGAGTGACTGGTTTTGCTCATACCAAGTTACATTTTGTAAGGCCTTGCCATTATGCCATGTGGTGAACTACATTCTGAGGTTGAAGCAGTCAGTTCACAATCCCAGTATCAAATTTGATCCCAAAATGAGCTTCCAGCCAGAACCTTATCACTAAGACTACCTCTGTAACATTGCTCCTGCCTTGGCTCATCTGCTGCTGAAATCTTCATCCATGCATTTGTTAGCTCCAGACTTGACTACTCTAATTGAACCCAGATCTTCTGACTTAGAGCTAGGGACACTAACATTGAGCCACAAAACCCGAAAATAATTTTTAATCAACCTGTTTAGAAATGTTGAAACGTGCCTCCTGGGCAAATAGGACTTGAACATGGGTCTCCTGGCCTAGAGGCACTACTTATCCCTGCCGTGATCACTGTAGGCTGACTCATATTGAGGTCAATTACAGGCTAATTTCAGCAACCATGTGTTAATTTGTATGCAATGCTTTCTTTGTTAAATTGGCAATTAGTTGCCTTTCTTGGTTTTTCCTTTAAGGTCAGAAAATCCACTTTTCAGAAAAATATTCTTTTAAATCTGTAATAAATTTTGATGGATTTATGAGGTTCGGGTTCAGCCCAAATGCAGTTCCAGGTCCAGGTCTAAGTCCAAAGAAAGGCAGTGTGCTCCACTGTGGGTGGGGCAAGGAGGCAGGTCCCAAATCCATCTTGACCAGGATGGAGATCAATCTGATCCATGCTGGCCACCCAACCAACCCCAACCCCTACTCTCCCACTAAGGAGTCAGGGTGGCATGCTGGCTCAGTGGTTAGCAATGCTGTCCCACAGTGCCAGGGACCCAGGTTTGATTCCAGCCTTAGAACATAGAACATAGAATATTACAGCGCAGTACAGGCCCTTCGGCCCTCGATGTTGCGCCGACCTGTGAAACCAATCTGAAACCCATCTAACCTACACTATTCCATTATCATCCATATATTTATCCAACGACCATTTAAATGCCCTTAAAGTTGGCAAGTCTACTACTTTTGCAGGCAGGGCATTCCACGCCCTTACTACTCTCTGAGTAAAGAACCTACCTCTGACATCTGTCCTATATCTATCACCCCTCAATTTAAAGCTATGTCCCCTCATGCTAGCCATCATCATCCGAGGAAAAAGGCTCCCACTGTCCACCCTATGTAATCCTTTGATCATCTTGTATGTCTATTAAGTCACCTCTTAACCTTCTTCTCTCTAACGAAAACAGCCTCAAGTCCCTCAGCCTTTCCTCATAAGACCCTCCCTCCATACCAGGCAACATCCTGGTAAATCTCCTCTGCACCCTTTCCAATGCTTCCACATCCTTCCTATAATGCGGTGACCAGAACTGTACGCAATACTCCAGGTGCGGCCGCACCAGAGTTTTGTACAGCTGCAACATGAGCTCATGGCTCCGAAACTCAATCCCTCTACCAATAAAACCTAACACACCGTACGCCTTCTTAACAACGCTATCAACCTGGGTGGCAACTTTCAGTGATCTATGCACATGGACACCGAGATCTCTCTGCTCATCCACACTACCAAGAATCTTACCATTAGCCCAGTACTCTGTATTCCTGTTACTCCTTCCAAAGTGAATCACCTCACACTTTTCCGCATTAAACTCCATTTGCCACCTCTCAGCCCAGCTCTGCAGCTTATCTATGTCCCTCTGTAACCTGCAACATCCTTCCGCACTATCCACAACTCCACCGACTTTGGTGTCATCCGCAAATTTACTAACCCATCCTTCTACGCCCTCATCCAGGTCATTTATAAAAATGACAAACAGCAGTGGCCCCAAAACAGATCCTTGAGGTACACCACTAGTAACTGAACTCCAGGATGAACATTTCCCATCAGCCACCACCCTCTGTCTTCTTACAGCTAGCCAATTTCTGATCCAAACCGCTAAATCACCTTCAATCCCACGCCTCCATATTTTCTGCAATAGCCTACCATGGGGAACCTTATCAAACGCTTTACTGAAATCCATGTACACCACATCAACTGCTTTACCCTCATCCACCTGTTTGGTCACCTTCTCAAAGAACTCAATAAGGTTTGTGAGGCACGGCCTACCCTTCACAAAACCGTGTTGACTATCCCTAATCAAATTATTCCTTTCTAGATGATTATAAATCCTATCTCTTATAATCCTTTTCAACACTTTACCCACAACCGAAGCAAGCCTTGGGTGATTGTCTGTGGATTTTGCATGTTCTCACTGTATCTGCGTGGGTTTCCTTCAGGTCCTCTGATTCCTCCTATTCTAGAGTACCAAGATGTGCAGGTTAAATGGATTGGTTGTGCTACATTGTCCGTAGTGTCCAGGGATGTGCAGGCTGGGTGAGTTAGCCGTGGGAAATGTGAGGTTATGGGAATAGGGTGGGGTTCTGAGTCTGGGTGGATGCTGTTCGGAGGGTTGGTGCAGGCTTAATGGTCCAAATGGCCTCTTTCCGCACTGCAGGGATTCTATGATTCAATAAAATGCATTTCAGAGGAATCAGAGCACCTGAAGGAAACCCACGCAGATACAGTGAGAACATGCAAAATCCACAGACAATCACCCAAGGCTGGAATCAAACCTGGGTCCCTGGCACTGTGGGACAGCATTGCTAACCACTGAGCCAGCGTGACTTGGCAAAGTTATGTGACCTCTTTAATTGCTTTCAGTTTAGTAAGACAAAGCATTAAAGCTTACATGTGAACCATAGTGTCAGAACTGAGCAGCTGAAATAATGTGGATTTTGAAAGCTGGAGGAGAGCTAGTTATGGTAAAAAAAAACAGCATGGAATAATTAGAATTGTATCTACAACTTTGTACTACTGGGTGAGTCAGGATGGCTTTGAAGTTTCCAATCCCCACCTCTGGGGAGATGAAAAGTGATACCAGATAGAATTGAGGTGACTACTCATCTTAATAACAAAAGTGAGATTTCTATACAGAGTTGAACAGAATACTGGAACAAATAAGAGTAGCAATTCTGTTAATGCTAGGAAACTCTGCTACAAACTGTATTGTGCCATAGTTCTTACTGAGAAGCAGAAAATCTATATTGGAGAAATATTAAAGGCTTTGAAGAGGCATTTTAAACTGTCTACTAATGTTGCTTGTAAACGATTTGTGTTTAACATCAGACCTCAGGAAGAAAGGGAAAATATTGATCAATACGTGAATGCACTGTGACATCTGGCTGAATCTTAATTTTGGACAACTCTGAAAGATCAGAAATAGGATTGTTTTAGAAAAAGAAATCCTGCCATTAGACCACATTTGCTGAGAGAAAGCTTTCATGTGCAGATGCTCTGAGGTTGTCAATCAAGTAGATAATATTAATGGGAGAACAGATGAGACTTTACACTATGTTGAGAGACAACAAACATAACACAATGGAAAAGCAAAGTATTTCCAGTAGGGGCAGGAGAAAGATCAAGGCTAGATGACAGGATGTAAATTTTGTGGAGGATGCCTTGTGAATGAAAAGATATCCAGCATGGAGAAAGCAGTGATTTAACTGTAAGAAGCTGAATCGCTTTGGTTGCGAGTGTTGGAAAGAAGAAAAGAAGCCTTTAAAGACGGCTGCTGGACAGATGACAGATGATGATGCTGATGAGTCACTGTACACCATACAATAAGTTGGCATTGTTAGATCTGGTTTATGACTGTTAGAGTGATGACTGCAGAAGGAATATATGAAGTGCCAGATAGACACTGGTGATTCTCGTCATCATGAGCATCACAGAGCTGTATAATGTGGTACAAGATGGTGATCCAAAAATGAAGATATGGAAGGTAAGGTTGAGGTTATCTGATGCAATGATACTCATCCCAAGAGGGCAAGTGAAACTGAGAGCCCAATGCAATGGGAAGAATGAAGGCTGGAGTTCCAGACAGTAGACATTCAGCAAAATCCACTCATCTCAACTGAAGCAAGTCTAAAGCTTAGACTAATTAACCCAAAGAATGAATCAGAAACTAATGTTTCAAACTTAAATACAAGCAATTATGAGGGTATAAAGACAGACTAGAGTGAACTAGAAAATTAACTTACAGGATAGGTCAGCAGAAATATAGTGGCAGATATTTCAGAATACTCAGAAAAAGGTACAGAATAGTGAGAAAGGCAGTTTACAGGGAAGGACACACCACTCCTGGCTAATGAATGAGGTTAAAGGTAGTATTAAATTGAAACAAAAGATGTGCAATTCCACAAGAGCATGAAAGTCAGAAGATTGGACAGAATATAAAGGTCAGCAAAGAATGACTAAAGACTAATAAAGAAAGCTAGCTAGGAGTGTAAAAACACATAGCATGAATTTCAGCAGGTATTTAGAAGGAAAAAAGTAAATAAAGTGAGTGTCTTCTAGAGAAAGTGTCTGAGGAATTAACAATAGAAAAGAGGAAAAGTGGCAGATGAATTTTTGAGTCTGTCTTTGCTGTAGAGGATACAAATAGTCCCCGAGAAATAATTATGAATCTGGAAGTGAAAGGGAGGGAGGAACATCAATAAATTACAATCACCAGGGTAAAGGCACTGAGAAAGTTATGAGAACTAGTCTCCAGCTCCTGATCGGCTTCATTCCGGGGCGTTGAAAAAGTAGCTGCTGAAATCATAGCTTTGAATTAGTATTGCTTTTCATTTTCCAAAATTCCCCAAGTTCTGGAAA